GACGTCGTCGCCGCCTTTGGGGAAAAGACAGGGTCAGTGCGAGTGATTGCATTCTTATCCCGAGAATACTGTTTAGATATTCTTGGAATTGAATTTGTTCGAGTGTCGAATTGTCCGGTGTGTTACTCCGGCATCAACATATATTCCTTCACATCCCTGTGAGAATACATCTGCCTTTTTCCATAATATATCCCTCACATCCCTGTGAGGTGTCATTGAATTTCTGTTTGATTGTTTTACACTTTCAGGCAATAAAACCCCTCGAAAACGTGTGCACCCCAACGGGCCTCCCCAGAAATGCTCAAAGTTCGTGTCTGAGACAACACTCCATGGACAATGCAATGGACACGCGTTCCTAGGCAGGGTCGAATGTCTTGCTCGTGTGCCTGCAGTGCTTTCGGACTGCATTCTTGTTTTCTGTGCTCTTTTGTTTCCATTGCAATGAGCAGCAGCGAAGTGTAACTGCGCGTGGAGTCGGCGTGGCCAGAAGCTGTGAACTCCAAGAAGCCGACAGACAAACCTGACAAAACTGACATGTGCTTCTCGAAATCTAACACGGCAACAAAAGTTCAGAAAGGGATAGTGGGTTTGTCACTTGGATGGAGATTGGCTTCTGCACGAAAAGTCAAGCTCGCACGCAAATGCTGCGGCTCAGGTTGGGATTTGGACTTTGTTGCAGCAAAAAAAGGCCACACCTGCAACCTGACAAAACGCAAAACTGACAGTCTCCGGACTGGTAGATCACTTTGCCAAAGTGTGTTTCCATTCTGTTACGATCACTGTCTTGGATGTATGGACCCGATGTGTCGCCGAATGGTTCAGCTGAGCTGTGTGATGTGTGCTTGGTTTGGCTGAGACGGAGGTCAGTGGTGTTTCTCAGAACTTTGCAAGGCCCGACATGTTGGATGGTGAAAGTGATGCGCCCCTTGAAGGGCAGGGTCGCCGCCGGCAGGACTGCCACCGCCTGTTCCGGTTCAAGCTAGACCCCACTAGACTTCCATGTTCACCGGAGGCCATCGTAAGCCGTGGAGGCAGTGGCTGCTGCTATGGAAGCTGCGGATCGCTTCCGCATGCTCCCAAAGGAGGAGCAGAGGATCTCGGCTACTCTGGACGCGGAGCCATGGTCGGAACACCAGTCGGAGGAGGTCGAAGCCATCGACGAAGACGATGCAGTGCCTCGACGGGTATGAGCCGTGGTTCCTGAGCTCTCCGGCTCCGAAGCCACGACCCAAGCCCAGAGAAGATGGCGACCGCAAGCTACCTACTATCATTAGAAACTTTGTGGGCTTGTGTTTTGTCTCTGGTTTCTGGCTTGAACGGGCTTGAAGGCATTGGAGTACTGCTGGCTTGCAGGCGGAAACGCCGAGACAACGTGCACCCGAACAAACGCTACCCGCAACAGTGGCAGAGAGCCGCCACCCAATTTGCGAGTATACCTGCCCAGGCAGAGAAGCGGCCGCGAGGCCGAATGGCCCCGGCATAATCTCTGATTTCCCACGGAAGAACCTGAAATGCCGGCAGCCGGGTCCGTCAGCGCCTCAAGCGTCGCGGCTCTCCCAGGGCTATAAGGCCAATGGGCTTCTGGCATGCTCGCGAGAGCTGTCAACGTCGGATTTTGGCACAAGCTGCGGCAGCTCGTTCCTTTTGGTTGTCCTCACCACGGCAACCGGGGTGTGCTTGTTCATGCTCCGCCGCGGAGTGGGCATGCAACTCTTCGAAGCGGCCATGAAGGAACAGCTCGATCCGGCGCATGAAAGTTTCGCCGCCGTCAGCTCCGGTTTGAGCGGGGCACGCGAGGAGCAGGCCTGGCAACAGGAATAGTTCGGAGTGCTGCATGCGGGAACCTGTACAGCCCAATTTGGCCACAATATGGGCGAGAAGTCCCCTTCAAAGAAGGTCGAAGCTCCTTCAGACCCTCTTGAAAAGGGCTTGAAACGTCTGACTTGAAGGGAGCTAGGATGGTGGACCCATTCGGCACCCTCCGAAGTAGAAAAATGCCTACTTCAGGCTTCTGGAAATTTCCAAGAGTTTGAGAAAGACTGTTTTGTGGCTGTATATCCAGGTGTTTTGCTCTGCTTTAAAGCTGCCAGTAGGAGCCATTGCGCGATCCATGCTTCACGGGAAGCGGGACGATGGACTTGCCATTGCGCGAGCCTGGAAAGCGAAGCATCTGAGCAAGGCTGATGTTGATATGAGACCCGTAATTAACTGCTGAATCGACTTTTTCAAGTCTGTAAGTCGCAGCTTGTTTTACCGCTTTTAGTGGATTTCTTGTTTTTGGTTTTTGTCGATTTCCTTAGGATCGAATGCGGCAGCCGCCGTCGACAAGGTCTGACCACGTCAAAAAAGCCTCAAAAGCCGTGGGTACAAGGTGGCAAGTCCAAAAGCCGTTCTCCAAAGGCCAAGCCTTCACAGAGACCCGGTCTCAACTCCTTCGATCTGAAAGATGCTGTGTTGTCGAGGTTCAGCAACCCCTGTAAAGCCTGGAGATCCTTTAAGTGTTCTGTGAAAGGGTTCTTCAAAGCCTTCCAAGTCCTTTTGAAGCCCTCCAAGCCAAAGCTTGTTGAGAGAGAGTGTGCGTTGAAGCTGCGAAGCCCAAGCCGAGTCCGGAAGAAGGTGCCCTGGAGCGTGGTGTTGGAACGCAGTTGTGTCGTGAGCTTGGTGTTGGGACGCAGTTGTGTCGTGAGCTTGGTGTTGGAACGCAGTTATGTCGCCTCGCAGCTTTGTAAGACTCGGTTTCCGAACAAGCTAAGGGGACGGGGACGGCTTTTGCTTTTGTGTTAAAAATCAACACTCCACTGGCTCCACTCACTTGACGCATGACTGCTTGACTGACGACTCACTTCGCAGCGGCGCAGTAAGCTTCACAGTTCGGCGCACCGCACCTGTCGGACGCCATTTAAATGGCCCGGAAGTGCCACCGTTGTAGGTTTTGCATTTTTGTTCTTAAATTTCAGACCGGACCTCCTGGAACGGTAGGCTGTGGCAGTGCAAGGGACACTTGAAGGGTCAGACCCTTCAAGGGGGGCTTCAAGGGGGGCTTGAAGGGGGGCTTCAAGGGGCTTCAAGGTCCTTTCAAGGGGGTCCCCCAGACCTTAAGGAGAGGCTTAACTTTTTCTTGCGGAGTCGAAAACTTTCTTCTTCGTATTTGTAATTCTTTTGTGATTTCGTGTCTCGGGTGCTGGGAAGAGCCGGCTTCACCGCCGGTTCGTTTACAAGCGCTGCGAGCCTCAAGCTACGCTCGCGGAAAAAAGAGGCAATCCAGAGCCTGAAGACAGCGTGGATTGGGGATGATTCGGGGATGACTCGGGATCATTGGTGGCTGCGCTTTCACGGCCTCAAACGAACCTTAGCAGGCATTCGCTAGCAAAGCCGGCACTCGCACAGCAGCGACCATCGAATCGCGGAGCGTCCAGTAGATTTACCTTTATGTTCTCGTGACTATGTCCGTGTCGTCCCGTGACAATGCCAGTGTATATCGGTCCCAAGACTCGCCAGAGAAGGTAATCGTCCGTAGCGTCCAGCTTGGTCAAGTCCTGTGATTCACTTGCGATGTGCATTAGCGGCAGTGGTAACCGTCCACCGCCCACCCCTTGATGAAGCACTGCAGTCTTGGAGTTCGTCCAAACAGGATTCGTGATGCATGGAGTCTGATGATCGAAGTGTTCCGCGATGTTTCGGCTTTGCCCTGGCGAGTGAACAACATCTAGAATCTAGAGTGAGACCGACACGAAGTTCACCAGGGTGTCCATGTCAGTGTCCAAAGAGGATCGGTTAAATTAAGGTTCTCCAGGCGGCCTCCAGGTGATTTCTTGCAGCTTGCATCGAACTTTGCAGCTTTCAACATGTGGTTTGAAAAAGTCTTTCCGTGATGTTCTATAGCTTTCAGCAAACATCCATCGATCCCACCCGAACACGTCCAGCCGTAATGATTTGGCTAGCTGCATGGGGCCATGGTTTTAAATGTGCTCTTGATGCATCAAGGGTGTGACGCGTGGTGCCGGGCCCTCGGCCAGCGTTTTCCATCCGTCTTTGCCCACAGTCTGGCTGCTGCAGCCTTCGGACGGGACTTCCATCTCCACCGGGTCAAAGACCCGACATGTTTAGAATTCAGAAGCAGAGCATGCGGCGAATGTGGGCGGATATTTCAGATTTCAGGCCTCTGGCTTTCTGGAGTGGGCTTGGGGTTGGTGAGCCTCAGATTTTGCATGCACCTCCTTAGATAAAGGATTGGGCTCAGTCGACAAACGCTACGACGCTTCGATTACGCGTGAGATCAAGAAAACCTAGGAGAATCTAGCAGGAACGGAGAACTGGGAAAACGTCGGTGAGCTTCATGGTCTGCCAGTCTTCGTGTCCTACTGCCCGGTTGTGATCACTCTTATCCTGAGGCCGGCATGTCGCATGATGTACGCAAAGCCGGTGGCCGAATGAAGGGTTCGGGATGTGGGAATGCAGACTGCCGTAAGCAAGGGCTGCAGATCTTGGGACGTGGAGAGTCTTGCCCGGAATTGTCTCTTTCCGATTCTGAGAGCTCTTCTGAGATCTTTCTTCATTCGTCGTCTAAGCTTGACAGAACTTAGCAGGATTCCAGCCCGCGCCGCTCAGGGTGAGAACAGATCCGAAGAGCCTGCCGGAGATGATTCTGGCGCTCTTTCGATGTTTCAAGACCGGCTTGGGGAAGCATGTGGGTAGTTAGTTGTCAAAATTATGGTCCCTTTTGGGGTACCCTAAATAATAGGTGCCGTATTATAATAAGCAGTTTCCAGGCTTGGGTTCAGAAGGCTTCAGCGCCAACTCCCAGGCCTGAACCCAGTGCTTTCTCCAGAATCCAAGATTGAGATTGTATCGACCAGCTCGGGCCAGCTGTGCTTGGTGCCAAGTAGCTGTTTCCGGTTGGGCCTAGATCCCAGAAGAATCCTGTAGCCACTAGCCTGCTCCCCTAAACCCTGAACCCTAAACCCTAAACCCTAAACCCCAAACCCTACGCCCTAAACCTCCAGGATCACTACACCACGCAGCTCGATCCGAATTGCATTCCTCCCAAGCAGCGAGCGGAGGCATTCCCCTGCGGCGTGCTGTGATGCTTTGAGCTCTTAAGCTTCCAGGGTCATCAAGGTTCATCATGGTTACAGCACAGTTGCATCAACTGCTACTATTATTGCTAGCCGCCAGGATTAGCAGTATCATGATTTCTACTTTTTTTCTTGATGTTATGTGTCTTTCTTCTTCTTCTAAACCCTAAACCCTAAACCCTAAACCGTGCCTCTCTTGTAGGCGGATCAGCTGGCCCGTCAGATCCACGAAAGCGAGTGGCAAGCTCGTGGTCCGAGGCGTGCTCAGATCCGACAGTCATCAGAGGATCAGAAGACGCAATATTATGGTATAGTATATTAAAATATTATACGGTATAGTATTATGCAAGTACTACTATAGTATAATTCTCCGTGATATTATAGTAGTATAAGATAGTATAAGTATAGTAGTTGCTTCGAGGTTTGAGGATTTGCTCGGGTCTCAAGCTTCAGCATTCGCAGAGTCACGACACTTTTTCATGTAGCTAGGCAGGATTGATGGTTCAATGTCGGTCGGAAGTTCCGTAGATGTGAAATCGCTACCCTAGAAAAAGTGGTCCCGCGATTGAACCAACATGACTGACGGGTCGCGTATCCAAAATGTCTTTTTTTTTGTCAAAATGTCTTTTTTATGTTTGATTTCAGTCTCGGCTCACACATTTGAATGTCTCGGCCATGTCACGGCCACTGTGAGGCGGCGACGACACAGGACATCATTTCAGGCCTAGTCCAAATTATAAACCCGCTCACACATTGCA